GTCTTTTTGGGTGTAGCATACCACTTCCTCAGTCACACTTTGTATTTCACCCTTTGGGGCTCACTTGGACTTCACTTTAGTTATAGGTCTAGCAGCAACAATGGATGGTTGGGGCAGTTCCTGAGAACATTCAGCAGTCTTCCATGGCATCTACCTCAGGCAATGACCCAGTAGGAACAATTGGGTTAATACCATCAAATGGAGATGAAAGGGATGATGGTTTTATAGTAAACCCTTCTGATGGGAGTGATTCAACAGAATTTACAGGCTCCATATCCTCATCTTCCTGACTGTCTGCCCATATGTCCCCATTCCAGATTTCAGGATCCCATTTTTTACCAATCAATGCCCCCACTTTAACTTCAGACACCATTCTGGGTTCTCAATTCAACTGGCATTGTAATTCCGCCACCCTTACAATAAGACTCTGGATTTTGTTTTCAGCAATATCAGCTTTGTTACTAGAAGAAATAAGGCTTTCTTTCAGAGCACAACTGGAAACATTGAGGTCTTTTATGCAGTGCTTGAGGTGTGATTCAGCAGCCCTGAACTCATTTCACTCTTTTACCACTTTGGCTAGCTTAAATAGGACCAACCAGCCAGTTTCCTTATACTCCCCATGGTGACAAAATTGCAGAAAAGTATCAAACATGCAACCACCCAGAACCTCACTTCTCAAAAATACTTGATTGGTGGTACTATTTTGTGTATTAATGTTGCCATCTCACACCACAGATTAGCAGGGTCCTCTTTATTAATGGAGGCAGAGTCACCAATGCCTTTACAATTAATCAAATTGGAAAACCAAAATAGAATAGGTGAGAACCAATTTAGGAAACCCATCCTTATGATTTTATCTCTCTAGAAACACTTCCAGTACCAAATGTTAGGCTGGGTTCTCTAGAGAAGCAAAACCAGTAAAGTTATATATATATATATATAAAGAGAGAGAAATTTATCTTAGGAAAATGGCTCACACACTTGCAAAAGCTAGCAAGTCCCAAGTTCCTGGATCAAACATCAAGCTGGAGGTTTTTCCTGACTCACTCAGCTGCAGGGGCTGACGAGCTCAAGGTTGGCAGGCAGTATTCCAGCTGTTGACTCCAATGAATGACTAATCCAAGATCTCCAGGCCAAATGGTGGATTGTTCACTCACAGACAGTTGTAGGCAGCACAACAGGATCCAGATCCACGGAAGAGTCTGTCTTTTTCCCAGGATGTCCATATATATATTGGGAGCAGGCCACACCCCTAGGGAAACTCTCTTTCAATGGATTGGCTGCTCAAAACATATACAACCAATCTCACCATGGGACTAACCACATCAGAACTGCTTAATCCATTCAGAATCATGGTCCAGCTAAAGTGACACACAACCCCAACTATCACATCCTCTAACCTCATTTTCAAAGCACAACACTCCAATCCCTGTTTCTGTCATCACATCACACCTCTAACTTTGAGCCCTCCCATGAGTCACCCTCTTATAAAGGACACTGATTACATTGGGCCCAGCAAGTTATTCAGGACTATCTTCCCATCTCAAAATCCTTAATCACATCGTAAAGTCCCTCTTCCTATGTTGTTGCTACGTGCTGTGGAGTCGATTCCAATTCAATTCATAGAGATCCCACAGGGTATCATAGAACTGCACCATAGGGTTTTCTACGCTGCTAATGTTTATGGAAGCAGATTGCCAGGGTCTTGTAGAGAGTGCCTGGCTGACAAAGTCTTCTTGAGGCAACAGGCACCTGGATCCATTTGCCTTAGGCCAGTTTTGTATTCTCACCGTCCTTCTCACTCTCATGAAAATAGAGGTCCACCGTTTCTGAAACCCTGGGGCAGTTGTTGTTAGGTGCTGTTGAGTCTGTAACTCATAACGACCCTATATACAGCAGAACAAAACACTGCCCAGTCCTGTGCCAGCTCCACAACCCCTGCTATTCCTGAGCCCATCATTGTAGCTACTGTGTCAATCCATCTTGTCGAGGGCCTTCCTTCCTCTCATTGACCTTCCACTTTACCAAGCATGATATCCTTCTCCAGAGAATGGTTTCTTCTTACATGACCAAAGTAGGTGATGTGAAGTCTGGCCATTCTTGCCTCCAAGGGGTATTCTGGCTGCACCTCTTCCAGGAAAGGTCTGTTAGTTCTTTTAGCAGACCATGGTACTTTCAGCATCCTTTGCCAGCACCACGACTCAGAAGCATCAACTCTTCTTCCATCTTCCTTATTCACTGTCCAGCTCTCACATGCATATCAGGCAACTGAAAATACCATGGCTTGTGTCAGGCGCACTTTAGTCCTCAAGGAGACATCTTGGCTCTTCATCACTTGAAAGAGGTCTTTTGCAGCCAATTTGCCTAGTGCTATACATTGTCTGATGTCCTGACTGCTGCTTCCATTGATGTCGATTGCAGAACACAGTAATACAAAGTCTCTGACACTAACAACTTCAATCTTTTCTCCATTTATCGTGATGCTGCTTATTGGTCCAGTTGTGAGGATTTTTTTTTTTTTTTTAATCTTGAGGTGTAATCCATACTGCAGGAATTCTGGTAGCATAGTGTCTAAGGCACTTGACTGCTAACCAGAAGTCTGGTGGTTCAAACCCATCAGCCACTCCTCGGAAGGAAGGTTGGGCAATCTACTTCCATAGTGATTCTGTCTCGGAAACCCGAGGGGTTGCTATGAGTCGGGTCCAACTTGAAGACAAATAACAACAACAACAATCCATACTGAAGACTATATTCTTCAGTCTTCATCAGTAAGTGTTTCAAGTCATTCTCACTCTCAGCAAGCAAAGTTGTGCCATCTGTGTATCACAGGTTGTTAATGATTCTTCCTCCAATCCTGATGCCACTTTTTCCTTCATACAGTCCAGCTTCTTGGATTATTTGCTCAGCATACAGATTGAATAAGTATGGTGCAAGGATACAACCCTGACACCCTCCCTTGTTGATTTTAAACCATGCAGTGTCCCCTTGTTCTGTTCAAACAAAACCCTTCTGGTCTATGTACAAGTTCCTCGTGACTGGATTGGGTCACAGCTCTGCCACTTACCAACTGTGTGATGTTTGACAAGTCAACTCACTCCTCCCTCCAAGCCTGGGTTCCTCACCTGTAACAGGAGTGTAGCCAGAGGACCTAGTTCAGAAGATAGTGAAAACTTGCTAAGACCAGCCAAGTCAAACCCAGTATTGACCAGGCCACGGTTGTACATAGGGCCTGGTCAATACTGGGTTGACATGACCTTCTGAAATCCAAATAGCTCTGAAAACCATAACTCACTTGGCAAAGAAGCCTGACCTGAACTAACATGAGGCTACTCAAAGCCTTTCTCTATCCTTTTCACTGTGAATATCTGTGGCAGAAATATTACCATGTTTGGATACACATTAATATTTACAGGACTTTTCTGGGGGTATTATAAAAAAGAACATAAAAGCCATGTCACCTTCCTAAATTGGAAAAATTCTGGATTTTACAACATCTGCCTGCTTGAATAACATCTTTTAGAAAGAGCAGCACAAGGCTGGTCCCTATGAGGCAGAGGTTAAAGATGTCCCAAATGTCCAACTTTTCCAAACTGCTGGGCCACTCCATCATCTCTGACATCAGCCCCTCCACCTTCCCTCAGTCATCTCGCTCCTGTGTTAGGGTGCCATAGTTCATGGCAACATCTCGCAGAACTTACAAACTGCCAAGGAAATGGCTCACATGGTAGTGGTGGAGGCTAGGAGGCTGGCAAGCCCCAGGTCTGTGGGTAGGTCTGGGGGATTCTCTCAACTCATGTGGCTGCAAAGGTTGGTGAGTCCAAATCGGCAGGTCAGACAATGACTACTGTCTCAAGTCCAGGGGTGAGATGATGATGAACCAAATGGAGAACCAGAGCAAGAAAGAGCGAACTTTCCCAGAACATTCACATATATACCCTCACAGAAGCTAAGGATGGTGACTTGAATCACACCCTCCAGCAAGGCAGGATTCGAAGATGCATCCCACCTTAAACAGGCATGTTGTTGTTGTTAAATGCCATCGAGTCAGACCCAACATATAGTGACCCCTCCTTGGGTTTCTGAGACAGTATCACTATGGAAGTAGATTGCCTCATCTTCCTTCCAAGGAGTGGCTGGTGGGTTTGAACTGCCAGCCTTCTGGTTAGCAGTCAGGTGCCTTAGGCACTACGCTACCAGAGCTCCTTAAATAGGCATAGGTACTATGATTTACAATACATCACAAAATGGAGGATGATGGCTAGAATGGCCATATTAAGCAATTCACTGCATTGCCCCAGGGCTTCAGAGACTACAGACATGTATCTTCATGAGGGTGAGAAGCATAGTGCCTAAGGCATCTGACTGCTAACCAGAAGGTTGGTGGTTCAAATGCACCAGCCACTCCATGGAAGAAAGACTGGATAATCTACTTCCATAAAGATTTACCGCCTTGAAACCCAATGGGGGTCACTATGAGTCGGAAATGACTTGATGGCAATGGTTTTGGGGTTTTTTTTGGAGGATGAGCAGGAGAAGAAGGATATAAATGTGCACAGGTGCCTGTCACCTCAAGAGGACTCAGCAGGTAGGCACTGTACAAAGGCCACCCCTACCCTACCTTGCTGCAGCCCCTCCCCTATAACCTTCTAGAGGGCCTTTACAATCTGTACACAGCTCTCCCTGGTTGAGACAGGTTCCCAGACTGAGAACCTGCCCAGTAATAACCACAATGGAGCCCCATACGAAAAACACACAACTTCAAATGAAAGAAACAGATACACAACTCAAGAGCTGCCAATGCGTCATTCCATTCATCAAACAAACACAAATCCCATATTCTAGGAGGGTTTTAATTGTATATCAATGATTGTGGACAAACAATTTTTCCCATAATTACAAAACAAACTATAAGAAAACAAACGGAAAGAAAATGGCAGCAGAATTCAAGAAGGTGCGTTTCTTTCACTGTTCACAGTGCAGAGCTCACGAGACAGCAGCGTACAGAGCTCACGAGACAGCAGCGTACAGAGCTAGGCGCTTTGGGGTGTCGGCATCCTCTGCTTCCCCTTCAAGGGCTCGCTTTCGACTAGTGGAAGGCTGGAAATCAAGGAAAAGGGACCAGTGTTTAACAGAAAACCATTGGCTTCTATAAGATTACCAAATTTCCCCAAAAAGTTTCTGGTAAATTTTGGGCATTTCATGAGCAACTTGTAACACCAAGAATTACCATTTTGTTAACATCGGAATTCCCACCACACTTGCTCCATTTGGACATGTTTATCCAATGGACATTGCTCTTCCATGTGGCTTCTGAACACTCAATGATGAATATTGAAAGTTAGCAGCATTTAACCAGCCTCCCCCTGGCCTTCTCCTAAATTCTGAAGTATAAAGGGATGACTGTACCTCTCCCTGGGAGCCCCAAGTCTGCCTGCTTTGTGGAAGGATGACCCCTTTTGCAGCTTGGTTGTTTTCCCATTTGTAGAATTGGGAGGGGGTGATGGGAAGAGGAGAGGCATCTTAAACCCAAAGGCAGTAGGCCAGGAATTAAGAGACACCAACTTCCATTTAAGAGGCCCTGGTAGCGCAACAGTTAAGTGCTCCATTGCTAAGCCAAATGTTGATGATTAAAATCCACCCAGCCACTCCTCAGAAGGAAGACCTGGTGATCTCTCCCTGTAAAGATGACAGCCTTGAAAACCCTATGGGGCAGTTCTACTCTGTCACATTGAATTGCTATGATTGGAAATTGACTTGACAGGACCTAACAACTTACAAAGAACATCAGAAGAATAAAATGATAACCAATAAATCATCAACTCCTTGCCTAAAATTTACATTTTTCAACCTCTTGATCGACAATCCCTAGCCCTACTTCTGTAATGCATTAAGAAAATGCAATCGGTATTGTCAGATCATCCTAGGGTGCTAGAGGAAATCAAGTTGAAACAAAGGATCTATGACATTATTCCTAATAATGTTATAGTTGCTGCTGAGGTCAATCTTCAAACTCATCCTTGTGAAATACATCATCTCTTCCATTAAATTGTGCTGCATGTTGGCTGTCATCCTATCAGCCAAACTCATGGCAACCCCAAGCAGAACGGAACGAAAAGCTGCCGAGTCCTGCGCCACCCCGTGATCGTTTAGGGATTAGGAATTAGACCGTTGTGATCCGTGGGTTTTCACTCGCTGATCTTCAGAAGCAGATCACGGCCCTTTCTTCCTCGTCCATCTTAGTCTGGAAGCTCCAGAGAAACCTGTTCAGCATCACAGCAACACGCAAGCCTCCATTACAGACAGGTGGGGGCTGGGCGTGGGGTGCACTGGCCAGGTATCGAACTGCGTCTCCCGCGTGGAGGGACAGAATTCGACCACAAGCCAGTTGCTGCTGAGTTGACTGCAGTTCGCGGTGACCAGAGTAGAACTGTGCTCCTAGGATTTTTAACAGCTGATTTTTCAGAAGTAAATTGCCTGGCCTTTCTTCTGAGGTGACTCTGGGTGGATTTGAACCTACGGTCGTTGGATTAGCAGCTGAGCATGGTAATCATTTGCACCACCCAGGGACTCTCTCTTTGAACTGTGCCTGTATTTAGCACCCATCACCAAATACCTGGGTTGAGACCTGGGGTACAGCCATTGATTTATTTTCCTCCAAAAGCAATTCTTGAAACCTTCTCTTCATGTCTTCATCCTGTAAAGAATTTAAAAACATAAGTAAGCTGTATCTGAGGGAGAGAAAGCTCCAAGAAAGCAGGGCTAGGACACCTTACCCCTGGAAGCAAGGAGGAGGGCACAGGTGCTGATCTGGCCAGACCAGAAGCATCCTCTTGCAGGAGCTCCGCAAAACAAAAAACAAACCAACTGCCATGGAGCTAATTCCAACTCATAGCAACCCACACTGGATTTCCAAGATGGTAAATCTTTATGGAAATAGATTGCCCTGTCTTCCTTCCATGGACTACTTGGTGGGTTTGTACCACCAAACTTCAGGTTAGCAGTCAAATGCCTTAGGCACTGCACCACCAGAGCGCCTTGCAGAAGCTCATGTTGTTGTTGTTGTTATGTGCCGTCGAGTCGACCCCCGACTCATAGCGACCCCTCCTTGGGTTTCCGAGGCAGTATCACTACGGAAGTAGGATTGCCCAACCTTCCTTCCGAGGAGTGGCTGGTGGGTTTGAACCGCCTGCCTTCTGGTTAGCAGTCAAGTGCTTTAGCCACTATGCTACCAGAGCTCCTTGCAGAAGCTCATAAGGCCTCTATATTCCCAGAGCCTAACTTGTCATCTAGCAGTCATTGTTTTATCACCATTGGTGGAGTCAAACCCTCATGCCTAAGGGCTCTTGGTGGGTCAGAGAACCACCAATCTCTAGCCTCAGGATCCAGATCGGAGGGAGCTAGAGGCCAGATGCAGGGCCAGCTCAGTCCTCATGCAGCTTCTTAAATCTCTCCAGCAGCCCCCACCTCCCATCAACATCGAGGCCAGTCAACCAGACCAGTCTGGCAAAGCGATTCTAGCGCCCTAGGAAAACTCCCCCCACAGGTGCTGTTCAAGTCGCCAGAAAGCCTTCAAGTTCACAATCTCCCAGAGCTGAGGTCTAATGAGGGAGGAAGTCAAACAGGACATGACTTTACAGGTGGTTTAGGCTGCAGGAGAGGAAGCTTTGAGGGAGTCAGAGGGGCACTGAGGACTCCTGCCCAGGTGAGTCTCAGGGTGGCACCCACCTTCCCCAGTGCTCAAGGATTTGAGAGCCCTGAGAGATGACCTGATGCAGCTCTCCTCACCTTCAGCAAGGTGAAACATCTGTGACGGGGAATGCGGGCTTTGGGACTGGCCAGAATGCCAGCTGGACCACTCACAAGCCAGCTGTGTGGAATTCAAACTCAGAGCTGTCTGATTCCAAAGCCCCATGTGCTTTCTCCCCTCCTTCCACTCCAGCCAAATGTACCATGGGGGTGGGTGGGTGGGAGGCACAGAGGAGCAAAGGCTTCCAATTGTTCGTCAGCCATTGGCTAGAGGATCAATGACAGGTTCATCTATTCTGTACTTGCACCTGGAATCACATTCTTTGATCACCCTGTTTCCTGAGTCCCCACTGCCCATTTGAAGAGCACCAAGTTGGTCTGGGTTCCACACTGTGCTCTCCCACAGCCTTAGGCTCTCCCTTCTCATGCAGTGCCAGTCTCTAAGGCCACTCCCCCTCCCACCTGCTCATGCCACAGCCTCCCCAGGAATGCCCCCTTGCCTTCCTGGCCATTCACCTCATCTACCCTCCCCATTCACTAAGTGAACAAATATTTCCCGAGTACCCTTAAATGCCAGGCGATCTACTTCCATAAAGATTTACAGCTTTGGAAACCCAATGCGGGTCACTAAGAGTAGGAAATGACTCGATGGCAGTGAGTTGTTTCTTTTCTTCTTCTTCTTCTTCTTTTTTTTAAAATATATAATAGGTATTAAGGAGCTCTGCTGCCACAGTGCCTAAGGCATCTGACTGCTAATCAGAAGACTGGCAGTTCAAACCCACCTGAGGCAATCTACCTCCTCAGAAACCCAATGGGGGTCACTATGAGTCAGAAGCAACCTGATGGCAATGGGTTTGATTTTAGGTTTATAATAGACATTTAAAAAAAAATTGTGAGTCAATTCTGACTCACAACAACCCTATAGGACAGAGATGAACTGCCCCAAAGAGTTTCCAAGGCTGGGATCTTTATGGAAGCAGACTTGCCAAATCTTTTTTCTGTGGTCAGCAGCCAAGCACTTAGCCACTGTACCACCGGGGCTCCTATAATATGCACCAAAAAACAAAACAAAACAAAAACTCCCTGCCATCAAATGGCTTCCAACTCACAGCGATCCCTACTGGGTTTCCAAAACTGTAAATCTTTATGGAAGCAGACTGCCTCATTTTCTGCGGAGTGGCTGGTGAGTTCAAACCACTGACCTTTTGGTGAGCAGCAAATGCCTCAATGACTACCAGAGCTCCTAATAATACACACAGGGCCCTCCCTATCAGAGGAACTCAATCAGTGGTGACCATGTCATCCACCCATCCATCTCCCATGTCCTCTCCAGGCCACTTAGCCTTCGGATGCTCTTCACACTGTGTAAACATGTGGGAACCTGAAGCCCCATGGGCATTGGCCCCACCTCATCCTGGAGACCGCCTATGCCCTGCACCCATCTCTACCACAGGTACCACATGGTACTGTAACTACTGTGGTCAGGACTGTCTCCCTATCCAGACTGCCAGCTCCCCAAGGCAAAGACTTATCTTATTCTTCTATGCATCCACGGGGCCAATGCTGCTCAGGATCTAAGCTCATTGACCGTCCCCTGAAGGAATGACTGCAGGAACAAATGAAATCACGGTGGCAAGCCCTTCACATGACAGCCATTCAGTGCTGCCAAACAGAGCTGGGCACACACCTATTCACATCTACATTTAAAGAAGTCGTCAGTTATCAATAATATCAAAATGGCTCATCACAAACGACAGGGAGCACTGTGTATCTGTAAATACCCTTCCTTTGAGATGCTGACAGTCTATTCAGAAATACTCAATTATATTTCGCCTAGAAAGCAAGTAAGAAGGAAGCATCTAACTCACGCAATGCACATGAGGCAAAAAGTGGGCATAAGGAACACACCCCAATCTGGAGAGTCTGTTAACAACAAAACAGAGACCAGAACCCCCTCCCTAAATGCTCAGTCCAGTTCCAGACCCACAAAACCACTTGGTTTCTTCACAAACACTGAATTCCTCCACCAAAAAAAAAAACCCTAATCAGTTGGTGATGTTTTAAATGGACGCTCTGGATCCCTGTGCTCATTCACTGTTCATTCCATCTTCTGCTGCAAAAGATAAATGAGGACAAAAGAATGTTCCAGCAAGACTCCTGTGGCCGGTTGAACAGCACCTCTTCCTCGGTTGTTCGTTAATAGTTTTCTTACATAAGAAAAAGAGGCTATACGTGTTTGTCATCTTCAGACGGAGGCAAACCCTGTGCCCAGGCCTAACTGCAAGCAAGGTCCAGTGTTAGCAAGACTAACACATCTCCTCAACCTTTACACATGGCCCCTGAGAGTTTCCCTATAAGAACACATTAACAGAGCCAAGAGGCATGGTTCTCTTTTTCATCAAAATTAAATCCCCACATGCAAAGGTACCCTTTGTTTCCAAACTTCTTTTCTCCAGGGCCCTGCTGTTTCAAATCTGTGTGGTCTATTAAGTGCTAAATCATCGGACAGATTTCTTTAGAGAGGACTGCCGTTTCCAGGGCAATACCCCAAACACAGAGACCTGCCTTTTTTAAAAAAAAAAAAAAATTTGTTGTTCTCAACCTGAGCTGACCTGAGCAAAACAGTTGGGTGTAGCGGGTTGGAAGAAAGAATGGGGACAGCTTCCCCAGAACCCCAAAAGTACAGTGCCAAGGCTGGGTCCACTGGGGAGCAGTCTCCAAGCATCTCTCAAGCAATCTGGTTAAACTCTCCATCCCCACAGGAAATGGAGAAACCAAAAAGAAAGTTAATAGACATTAGCAGGCATGGCCCTGCTGAATGGAGCTGCATGTAACAGAAGGTCAGCCATCCATCAGAAAACCTGCCCGATGCTGTAGCTAATTCCAAAACCAAAGATTAGCCAAGCAAAGTCAAAGGACTCCCATCTCTGGCAGTATGAATGAGGTCGACACATAACCTCGCATCAGCCACAATCCCCAGCAGGACCATAGAAGTGATGCAGACTTGAAAGGCACAGGTGACAGCCTGCACTAATGGCATTCTTACTCACTGGGAACAAGAAACGGGCCCTTTTATGCCCAATCACTTACACTTGAGAAAAAGTAGATTCTCTCCAAAGAGGCTGCCCTCCCTCCATCTCCTATTTCCCTGATTTAAGATGAAAGATGGCTGGAACACAGCCCACACCCCCTGGGGCAGCTGAGGTGCAGAGGGAAAAACCAGCTCTCAAAGGAACAGAGCCAAACTGCAGACTCGGGGCAGCCAAGTGGAACCAGGACAGGCATAAAATAAGCGTATCCATCCAAGAGGCACATGTAATGTCAGAGTTTGCACCCCTCTAAACACACACACACAGAGAAGCTCCGGTGGTGGAGTGGGTAAGGCATCTGGCTGCTAACGAGAAGGTCAGTGGTTCAAATCCACCAGCTGCTCTGCAGGAGGAAGATGAGGCAATCTACTTCTGTAAGGATTTAAAGCCTTGGAAACCCAATGAGGGTCGCTAGGTGTTAGAATCGACTCGATGGCAGTGGGTTTGGTTTGGTTTTTAAACACATACAGAAGAGCCCTAGTGTGCAACAGTTAAGTGCTCAGCTGCCAATCAAAGGCTGGTAGTTCAACCCCCACAGCAGCTCCATGGGAGAAAGACGGGATGATCTGCTCCCACAAAGATCCCTCCATTGCCAGTGAGTGAATCCCAACTCATAGCGACCCTATAGGATGGAGTAGAACTGTCCCATAGCGTTTCCATGGCTGTAATCTTTACAGGGGAGCTCTGGTAGCATAGTGCCTAAAGCATGTGACTGCTAACCAGAAGGCTGGCGGTTCAAACCTACCAGCCACTCCTCAGAAGGAAGGTTGGGCAATCTACTTCCGTAGTGATACCGCCTCGGGAACCCAAGCAGGGGTTGCTATGAGTCAGGTCTGACTCGAAGGCATAACAATCTTTACAGAAGCAGACTGCCCCCTCTTTCTCCCACAGAGGGGCTGGTGGGTTTGAACTATCACGAGGAGTCAAAATTGACTCGATTACACCTACCAACAACAAACACACACATACAAACAATACACCTGAAAGCTCAATCTCAAACATGACACAGACCCAACAGAGGAGACATGTTTCCATCTTCTTCCTCTCTCCCACACAATTCCAGGCACACCAATCCCCTGTACTTTATACTAGTGGGCACTGCCCCATACCCACCTGAAGCCACGGGTGTTTTAAGGCTTCTTCTGTTGTAAAACGCTCCTTGGGATCCACTACCAACAACTTCTTGACAAGGTCCAGAGCTAAAGCAACAAGATAATTTGGCTAAAAGCAGTGCAAAGGAGAAATACATTAAAACAGGAATTATTAAAGGAAGCCAGAGCAGAGGCCAACACCCAGAGAGAGTGGAGGGTCTGAGATCATCGTAGAGTCACCCAAAGTAACAGGTAGGGCCCCTTATGCTCCTCACTTCTTCAGAGTGCTAGAACTTTACAATCCCTCGACTCTCTGTTCCCACTCGCCTTGCTGGACTGAAGTTCAAGCGAATTAAAGCTGAACTTCCACCCACTTCTAAGATACTCAATATACTTAAGTAAATTCTCCGAGTCTAAGAGACTGATGGCGAGAGTTCCTCGGCCACAGAGAAGCTCCCAGAACTTCAGGCTTGTCAGAAATAAAGCCTGACTACTCCAGCAAGGAACTAGAAGGTGGCTTATCAATTGTAACAATAAACAAACAAACAAAAAACACCTCACTGCCGTCGAATCAATTCTGACTCATAGCAACCCCTTTTGGGTTCCCAAGGCAACAAATCTTTAGAGAAGTAGATTGCCCAGTCTTCCTTCCACAAGGGACTGGTGGATTTGAACCACCAACCTTCTGGTTAGTTTTCCTTAAATAAGCATTCTGCCCTTTAACCAATCATCTATGCTATACTGTTTGGCCATTTCTTCTTCTTACTATTATTACTGCTGTTTGGGTAAAAGGCAATTCCTTTAGCTACCTACTCTTTTCTTCTGAGAATTATAAAGTTGCAGTTTTAACTTATCAAACACAAAGTAATTACTTTAGGTCTTACATGCTTACTCACTCAAAAGAAACCTCCTAACTAATCTTTACTTATTATTGTGCTTTTAAATAGGTGCCAGGCACATGTGTTCACTACATTTGTTGTGGTTAGGGGCCTTCCCAGTGATTTTTGACTCACAGTGGCCCTAGGAGACAGAGTAGAACCTCCCCCACAGAGTTTTCCTGGCTATTATCTTTACAGGAAAAGATTGCTCAGCCTTTCTCCTGCTGAGTGGCTGGTGGGTTCAAACTGCCAACCTTTCAGTTCACAGCCAAGCACTGAACCATTGCTCCACTGGGGCTCGTCATACTTAACCCTCACAAAAACCCTTAAGAGGAGAAGTTATTGAGCGCCTTTCACAAATAAGGAAACAGAGACTGAGACAGGTTAAGTAACTTGCCCCTGTTCACATACCTAGGAAGTGGCAGACCCAGGAATTAATAAGCCTGAGCTCTGAAGCTTAGCTCCTAAAATCTTCATCTGCCTCTCAAACAAATGGTGCAAAACTAACAAGAGAAAAGGAGAACAGAATGGACAGGAGAAAACATCCCGGGATTTGAAAAGAAACTCCCACCAAAGCACAAACAGGTTAGCAAAAACCACACATTTATAACCCTTTCGTATCCATACCCTTCTCTGAGACCTCTGCCCAGACTTCAGGAATGAAGTTGTACTTTCCACTGGTGATCTGATCCTTCAGTGACACTTGAGTCTTATGCTCAGAGAAAGGTGGATACCCACTAAGGCTTAATATCGGTAGAGAGAAAAAGGGAAAGACGTCAAGAGTCTCAGTGGCATTCCGATACACAGATTTCGTTTTCAGCATAATGAACAATCAGGTTTTCTCTACATCACTGGTCAAAGATGACCGAAATTACACACAAGCTCTCTACCTGGACATGCTGTGGATTTCATCCTATTACTTCCAAGCAAACCGTGACTCAATAAAACCTTTCTTACCAAATGAAAAGAATAACTCCTAAACTCCAGCAGTCCACAGCACGGTTATACCCGGCAGTCCCAAAGGAGACAAGAACCTCAGGAGCCAAATAGGTGGGGGTCCCACATAAGGTTCTCATGAGAGAGGTCTCCCCCAAAATCTTAGACTGCCCAAAATCAGTAATCTAAAATGAAGGACAAAAGGGAGACATTGGTAAGTGATAGCATGAGAAATTAACACAGACTGCCAGCACCAAAACACATACTGGCGAGATTCGTTTCTATCCTGCAGTTCATACCTGCCATTAACCTAGAATCGACAAGTCCCTGTCTTTGCCTTTAACGTATTTATTTAATTTTGCTTAGATAGTTGTTTCTGAGTCCAGGAACTTCAAGATCCAGGCCTTCCAATCTACCTATGTTCTCTGTAACCTTAGAAAAGATGTATATAATCCTTCTGTAAAGACGCAGACACTCTAGAACTCCAATGAGTTATGCATGGATCTTCTCAGACTTCCGGGTCTCCACCCTAGCTGCACAGCGCAATACCTGAAAAGCTTGGAGAAACTACTTACCAAGCTGGACGCCGTTGAGTTGATTTCAACCCATAGCAACCCCATGTGATGGAGTGAGGCTGTCCCATAGGATTTTCTTGGCTCAATCCTTATGGAAGCAGATCACCGGGTCTTTCTCCCATGGAGTGGCTAGGTGAGTTCAAACCACCAACCTTTGGTTAGCAGTTGAGCACGTAATCATTGTGCCACCAAGGCTCCGTGGACTTCCCTTTAGCAATAATAATTTAAGTGGTCCAAAGTGTAGCTTGGGTGTTGTGATTTTTTATTTATTTTTTATTTTTTAAATCTCAACAGGAGATTCTAACACAAAACCAGACTTGAGAAGCACTGCCTTAGACTGAAGCAGGGGATGGGACTCATCTGTCCACCTAGACCCCGCTTTCCTCCCTCAGAGCACAGGAGACGCACATGCCCAGAAGGCAACGAATGGCCACTGGGATCTGGGTAAAGCAACCCCACCTGACCTCTAAAATTAATTGCTAAAAGTAAGAAGATCAGATTCTCAACCTCAATATGCTCTCACTTTTTATCTGATCATGGAAGAGACAATTTCTCAACAGAAATCTACTGGAATGGCCACAGAACATAAATTTCCTACCTTTATAAGACAGTCCTCTTTTTGTGATGAGAGTAGAACATTCTCTGGCTTTAAGTCCCGATGTATAATGCCATTTTCGTGAAGGTACTACATACACAGAAAGGAGGCATGAACCTTAGACTGCGGCAGTAGGTACGTGAATAGAGATAAGAGTCAGCACCACACACTTTAGAGATGGACTGGGCTGTACACCATGATATTCACACCCATATTCTCAAAATTCCCAGAACACTACCGGGTAAAGAGGCTGCTGCTGTTACATAACAATATGAGTCGATTACGACTCATAGAGACCCCAGGTGACACAGTAGAACGGCCCCACTGACTGTCATCTCTATGGAAACTGATTGCCAGGTCTTTCTCCCATACAGCCACCAGGTGGGTTTGAACTGCCAACATTTCAGTTAACAGTTGAGCACTTAACCGTTTGTACCACCAGGGCTCCCTGGATAAAGGGGTTACTGTGGACAAACTTGTTCTCAAGATACTCTGAGAAAAGAAAAAATGTTAGAAAGGCAACTTATGACATCAGCCTTTTGGTTCACTTCACAAGATAATAAACATCCTTTCACGTTGGCAGAAATATAAGGTGTCAATTTTAACAAAAATGCAAACGAATGACATAAAATATTTTGTGACCATACTAAAGTAACCATAAAAATTCTCCCAAAATGATATATTTGGCTATTCCAGCCTTAAGAATAATCTTTTTAAAGGGAACTCATAAAATATGTATACTTGTAAAAGATCTGTTAAACACTCAGACTTAACTGGTTTTTTTAGAAAGCTCAATGGTCTGAAACATAAAAAAGAACACACCAAGAAACATTCATATGCAATGTCAAATTTCTTTAGGGGAAAAAAAAAATCCACATCCATTGGCCTGCACACCCAATCCACCCTAATCTTCTGTTTTTGTAAATTGTAATAAATATATAAGGAAGAAAACATAGGCCATCTCCACAGGCTTCATGTGTGTACTTCACTGATGTTCATTATGCCAATCATATTACTCACCCATCACCCTATCCATTCCCCAACTTAACAGAACTTCAGTGCCCCAAAGCATTGAGTCCTAATCCTAAGTATATCCAAAAAAAGAAAAGGGAAACAAATACACAAACAACTCATTGCCATTCTGTTGATTCCAATTCATGGTGACCCTGTGTATTACAGAGGAGAACTGCTCCATACGGTTTTCTTAGCTTTCATCGTTACAGAAAGAGAGACTGACAGGTCTTTCTTTCGTGGTGCCACTGGGTAAGTTCAAATGACTAACCCTCAGTTTAGCAGTTGATCACAAACTGCTTGTGGCACCCAGGGACTGTTAAGTATTTAAAAAAAAAAAATTGCTGTCCAGTCAATTCTGAGTCAGGGACACTACAAGATGGAGCTGAACTTCCCATAGGGTTTCCAAGGCCGTAGGGACATTGTTAAGTTTGGGAATGGATGGGGTGATGAATATAATCACCCTGCGTGTGAAGGGAGCACCTAACACCATCCCATCTGTCCCAGTCGCCCCTCCCTGACAGCCTGACCCTGGTACCTACCCAGCTTCCACCACAAAAGCTAAAGGTTATAAGGATCAGGCAGAAGCAGGGATCAACACTGCTCCAGAAACATGCCCAAGCTAAGGAGAGGAGACGCAGATGCATGTTCTTATTTTTTTTTCCATTCCCATTCTAAGTGTCTCCTAAGCTTCACAGAGAGAGCTTTGTCTCTGAGTGAAACACAGGATGTTTTTGCCAAGAAGAGAACAACAAACACAGCGTTCCACTCTGAATTTTAAGCCACCGTTACGCAATTTCTGCCTAACTCAAGGGCTAATTCACCTAAAAGGAAGCAGGCTGTCAACAGAACTCAGGGCTTCTCTTACCTGTACAGCCAAGAGCATCTGGTAAAAGTAGAGTTTGCAGGTAGCTTCCTTCAGGCGTCTGTTGCCCACCACCCTGTCAAACAGCTCTCCTCCTTCCATCCTGAAACACAGGTAAAGCAGGTGATTCAATTCCTGGAAGGAAACTCACTTGGATGGAAGATAATAATGCAAACACACCACACTCATGAAGACAAGCCCGGAGTCGCCATTTTCACTCACTCTTGACTCTTAGTTTTAAAGCCAATGACGTGAAAAGGCTCCTCCACAATCAGATGTCCCAGCAGGAAATAAAGTAGCAAGGGATGTCAGAAGCTGTGTGCAGTGGGCACTGAGGACACCAGGGGAGCTTTAAACAATCTGATTCAATTGATTGGTGGTGGGGCCCACCACTGTGGAGCCTGCATTGTGAGGCTGATGCAGGGTTAGCATATACTTATCATCAGATAAGTGGAGTCTGAGCCCCAAGCCCATCATTTTCCAGCTGCGTGACTTTGGGCAAGCTATTTTTTTTTTTACCTCTCCGAGCTTGTCTGAGGAGCCCTAGTGGCACAGTGGTTAAGCGTTCAGCTGCTAACCAAAAGGTTGGTGCTTCAAACCTACCAGCCACTCAGCAGGAGAAAGACGTGGCAGTCCAAGAGTACAGCCTTGGAAACCTTGTGAAGCAGTTCTGCTCTGTCCTATAGAGTCGCTATGAATCAAAATCAACTCAATGGCAGTGGGTTTGGTTATAAAGCTTGTTTGTGCCTCTTAACAAATGGGGATGATACCAGGTACCCTGATGGTTGTTGTAAAAATTAAGAGATAACTGATGTAGGCAAAGCAGCTGGCATAACAAAGTCATTCAATTCCTCCTTTTCTGGAAGTGGAGCTAAGGCTGCTGTGAAGGTTAAATGATCCATGTAAAGTGCTGAGAACAGTTGTGAAAATGGAGTGACACCAGCATAGTTGCCTGACCTCTTTGTCTACCATCACAAGGGGAAAGAATCAAGATCACAGCCAAGGCTGATTCTTATGAAGCAGAGGTCAGAAAGACCTCCTCTCTCCAACCTCTTCACTGGTTCAGACACCAGCTGTCCCTTCCACAGAACTCTTTACTTTTCTGCTGGGTTCAACAATGTGTTGAGATGGCCACACAGAACTCAAGAACAATACTCACAATTATAAGGTTTATTAGGGAAATAACAGGTTACATACAATTCAGGATCAGGAACGGCTCAGTATACAGTTCTTTGGTCAGGACAGCTTCTCAGCCATGGCCACAGGCAGGCCTCTCTTTTCACCTTAGCCTCTCTGGCCCATGGGCCTCCTGGGCCATTCAGCCTCAGCCATGTTCAGGCAACTGTTGCAAAGCTCTTTAGTTCCACTGATAAGTGCCCAGAGGCACCCCACTCTTCCAATAAACCTCAGCCTGAAGATACTCAGCTCTTTAGCTCTGTGGGTCAGTGAGCCTATCTCCACCAAGTACCTGAAAGCACCCACTCCAACAAGGAAGGTGTTCAGTTCGCCTGCACCACGGGCCAGAAAGCCCACGTTGCCATCTTGTGTTGGTATCCTGGTTCTGCTGCCACCACTTCTCTGTCGCTGCTTCTCACCATCTCGCACCATCTCTGGTGTTACATCTCTCTCTTGTCTTTCTCTCTGTGTCTCCTGGGTCAGGAGGTTCTCAGCACAAGGACTCTGGGTCCAAAGGATGTACTCTACTCCTGTCTCTTCTTCTTGGTAGTAGTGAGGTCCCTCCTGTCTGCCTCGAGGATAGCTCATTTTAAGCCTAGCAGGATGGCAAAATGACCAATCCCCTTGTTAGGGTTCCATACATTTTATTTGCATGGTCCCACCTCTGGTAGCATAGTGGCTAAGGCACTTGACTGCTAACCAGAAGGCTGGCGGTTCAAACCCACCAGCCATTCCTCGGAAGGAAGATGGGGCAATCTACTTCCGTAGTGATACTGCCTCGGAAACCCAAGGAGGGGTCGCTATGAGTCAGGTCTGACTCGACGGCACATAACAACAACAACAACAACCTCCACAAAATTTCTGAGTTATCTAGTGCTACTGTAACAGAAATGCCGCAAGTGGATGGCTTTTTGAAGAGATGGAAACAACCTAAGTACCCATAAATAGATGAATGGATAACCAAACTATGGTACATACACACAATGGAATACTATGCAACACTAAAGAATAATGAAGAATCCATGAAAACACTTCATAACATGGATGAACCTGGAGGACATTATGCTGAGTAAAGGATAAACATCGTATTAGTCCACTATTGTAAAAAGTCAAGGAAAGTTTCACATATGGAAGGAAACTTTCAGGGATGGGAAGGGAGGGGAGAGAAAATTTGCTAGATAGGTAAGAGAGAAGTATTGATTTGGGTGAAGGGAAAGGCAATATACCAAAAGCAAGTGACCAGCACAATAACACTAAGGAAAAGGAAGACACAGAGAGGTACACAAGAGGTACAGAAAGCAAAGGTAAATACTTTTACATACACAATATGCATTATCAGTAATAACAAACACTAATCTATGGGTGGATACATAGGTAGGTAGGTAAGCAAATGATACGTAGGTAGATAGGTAAGCAAATCGGGTATGGGTAGGCAAAAGACACATGGAAATAATTAGTACAAGGGAATAGTAGACCATGGGAATCTTGGCCTACATGACCCTGAGACCAGAAGAACTGGATGGTGCCCGGCTACCACTGTCAACCACTACAGAAAGGGATCAAAATCAAAATAGTAGATCCTGGATAGAGTGGGAGAAAAATGTAGAACTCAAAATCATAAAAAAAAAAAAAAGGCTTACTGGTCTGACAGAGATTGGTGAAACCCCCAAGACTATGGCCCCTACTCACCCTTTGGGCCTGGAATTAAATGCACTCCCATGGCTTCCAGATAAACAATAGGTCTACAAGGTGAACAATTAAACCAGATAGGTACACTCCTTAGAACAATCAACCAAGGGAGATCAGAAGGGCAGCATTTACAGAGAGAATAGCTCAGAGGGCAGGAATGTATAGGAAAAGACACAGGGAAAAAGTACCTGTGGGGAGGAATTGGGAAGAGAACAGTTATATTGTGGGGTTTGCAATCAATGTCATGAAATGAAATGTGTATGAACTGTTGCATGGAAAATGCACTTGTTCTATAAACTTTCACCCAAATCACAATAAAAAAGAAAAATAAAGAGGAACAGCAAAAAGAGAAAAACAGTGAATGGCTTTAACAAACACATTTATTCTCTCACAGTTTAGGAGGCTAGAAACACAAATTCAAGACCACCAACTCTAGGGAAAGCTTTCTCTCTGTGTGTCCTGGCCCCAGGATGTTCCCGGTGCAGGGACCTTGGGTCTGAAGGATGTGCTCCAGGCTCTTCTTTCTTGATGGTAGGAGGTCCACCTCTCTCTGCTCACTTTTCTCTCCTTCTATCTCTTACAATATAAAAGGAGCTCTGGTAGCATAGTGGCTAAGGCACTTGACTGCTAACCAGAAGGCTGGCAGTTCAAACCCACCAGCAACTCCTCGGAAGGAAGGTTGGGCAATCTACTTCCACAGTGATACTGCCTCGGAAACCCAAGGAGGGGTCTCTATGAGTTGGGCCCGATTTGATGGCATACAACAACAACAGGCCACACCCCAGGGAAACTCCTTTTCCATTGGGTCAGGGCTGTGAGGGAATTAAGAGTGTGACATCCCACCCTGGTAGTCCATAGTATATTCAATATTCTTCATCAAAACCATAATCCAAATGCATCATTCTTCTTAGGTCTTCCTTATTCAACGTCCAGCTTTCACATGACTACATGGCAACTGAAAACACCATGGCTTGGGTCAGGTGCACCTGCCAAAAACCAAACCAAACTCACTGCCGTCGAGTCGGATCCAACTCACAGAGACCCCTCCGTTACCGAGACGGTATCACTACAGAAGTCCAATCTTCCTTCTGAGGAGTGGCTGGTGGGTTCAAACTGCCAGTCTTCTGGTTAGCAGTCAAATGCCTCAGGCAGAGCACCAGAGCTCCCTTAGACTGACAAAAAATCATGGACTGCCAGAATGAACAAATCTGTGTTGGAAGAAGTATCTTAGAAGCAAGGATGGCAAGACTTTCCCTCTCATATTTTGGTGATGGTATCAGGAGGGACCAGTCCCTAGAGAAGGTTATTATACTTTGTAAAGTGGAGGGTCAGGGAAAAAGAGGAACACTCTCCACAGGGTGGTTTGACACAGTGGCTGCAATGACAGACCCAAGCACTGCAACGATTGTCAGGATGGCACAGGATCGTGCTTTATTCTCTTGAACACAGGGTCCCTGTGAGTTGAAACAGACTCCACAGCACCTACAACATAACAACATCTCACCCTAATCCTCTTACAACTGACTGACTTATCACTTCAAACCACATCATGGGGGGAGGGTCATGACATAACTGCCAAACCACTGAGAATCAAGACCCAAGCAAGCTGATACATATTTTGATGGGACATAATTCAATCCAAGCCAAGTGCCATTCACCTTATTGGCATTAGCAGCAAGCTGTCCAATCCCCTTAGTGGTCCACAAGCACCTTATTTGGATAGTCCCTACCAATCACTGTGTGGAAGTCACAAAAACTATGGTTAAATTTAAGCAAATCACTGCACTAAATTAAGTAATTCAGTGCACCACAACAGTATTTGGCTCATAGTAAGTGAGTGCTTAATAAATACTGGCTGTTGATGATGTTGTCAGGTGCCCCCAAGTCAATCCTGACTCATAGGTACAACATATGATAGAGTAAAACTGCCCTATACGGTTTCCTTGGTTGTAATATTTATGGAAGCAGATCACCAGGTCTTTATCTTACAGAGTGTGCAGGGTGGGTTCAAACCACCAATGTTTAGGTTAACAACCAAGCACTTAACCACTGCATCACCAAACAAAAAACCCACTTCCGTCAAGTTGAGTCCAACTCATAGCACCTCAAGGGACAGAGCAGAATTGCCCCACAGGGTCTCCAAGGCTGTAAATCTTTACAGAAGCAGACTGCCACATCTTTCTCCTACAGAGCTACTTATAGATTCAAACTGCCAACCTCTCAGTTAGCAGCCAAGCAATTAACCGCTGTGCCATCAGGGCTCTAAGAGCACCGTTGGGACTCCTTAAATATTGTAAATGTTGTTAGGTGCCATCGAGTCAGTTCTGACTCATAGCCACCTTATGTACAACAGACACTGCCCGGTCCAGTGCCACCCTCACAATTATTGCTATTCTTGAGCCCATCTGTGCCATCCTCACAATTGTATTCTTCAGCCCATCGCTGCAGCCACTGTGTCACTCCATCTCACTGAGGGTCTTCCTCTTTTTCAATGACCCTCTACCAAGCGTAAAATCTTTCTCCAGGTCCCTCCTGACAACATGATCAAAGTACAAGAGGCAAAATCTCACCATCCTTGCTTCTAAGATACTTTTTCCAAGACAGCTTTGTTCGTTCTTCTGACAGTCCATCGTATATTCAATATTCTTTACCAGCACCACGATTCGAAGGCATCATTCCTTCTGTCTTATTCATTGTCCAGCTTTTACATTATATGAGGCAACTGAAAAGACCATGGCTTGGGTCAGGCGCACCTTAGTTTTCAAAATGACATCTTTGCTTTTTAACGCTTTCAAGAGGTCTTCTGCAGCAGATTTGCCCAATGCAATATGCATTTGATTCCTTCACTTGCTTCCATGAACACTGATTGTGGATCCAAGTAATGAAATCCTTGACAACTTCAATCTTTTCTCCATTTATCATGATGTTACGTATTGGTACAGTTGTGAGGATTTTTGTTTTCCCTATGTTGAAGCATAATCCATACCGAAGACTGCAACTTTTGATCTTTATCAGTAAGTACTTCAAGTCTTCTTCACTTGCAGCAAGCAAGGCTGTGTCATCTGCATATTGCAGGTTGTTAATGAGTCTTCCTCCAATCCTGATGTCATGTTCTTCCTCATACAATCCAGCTTCTTAGATTATTTGGTCAGCAAACAGACTGAGTAAGTACGGTGAAAGGATGAAACTCTGATGCACACCTTTCTTGATTTTAAACCATGCAGTAGCCCCTTGTTCCGTTCAAACAACTGCCTCTTGGTCGATGTACAGGTTCCTTATAAGCACAATTAAGTGTTCTGGGATTCCCATTCTTTGCAATGTTATCTATAGCTGTTATGATCCACACAGTGAGATGTCTTTGCATAGTCAATAAAACACAGGTAAAACCTTCCTGATACTCTCTGCTTTCAGGCAAGATCCATCTGACATCAGCAATGATATCCCTCATTCCAAGTCCTCTTCTGAATCCTGCCTGAATTTCTGGCAGTTCCCCATCTATGCACTGCTGCAGTAATTTTTTATTATTTTCAAGCAACATTTTACTTGCACGTGACATTAATGATATTGTTCGATAATTTTCATATTCTGTTGGATCACCTTTCTTTGTCATGGACACAAATATGGATCTCTTCCAGTCAGTTGGCCAGGTAGGTATTTATCTTCCAAATTTCTTGGCATAAATGAGTGAGTGCTTCCAGTATGGCATCTATTTGTTGAAACATTTCAGTAGGTATTCTGTCAATTCCTGCCTTGTTTTTTAGTCAATGCCTTCAGTGCAACTTGGACTTCTTCCTTTAATACCTTAAATATTGGCTACTGCTATTTTTTTATTATTATTATTAAACTGTGTAAACTAGACCAAGTCAGGTACCAATCTCCTATTTGATAGCAACAGATATTCCCTCAAGCATCATGAGGGCCATCCAATCTCTCCTAGTGCTGTGATTTACTAGATAATTTTAATGGTCAACCTGCATAGCCACCATTGGACAACGAGGAACGAAGTATTCCCTTCCCGCCATGACAGAAACACTGCACACTTATGCCGGAACAGCCATCAAGACAGGCCTCTTCCAGGAATGAGACAGGAAAGTATTTTGGTCACACCAATTAAGACAGGACTTCATGGCCATCAAAGTAAAGTAGCAAGACATTGAAAGATATCCTAAGATGTCACCAGGACACTTGGGATTTGATCTCAGCAGAAAGCTCTATTTAGAGCAAGTATTTCAAAGTAATAGTACTGACCCATGGTTAAGCACCTATGTGTGCCCCGTACTCTGCCAGGGGCTTTCCATTTCTCAATGCATTTAATCCTTACAATAATCCTGCACGTGGCGGCATCATTATGATCCCCATTTAACACAAGGAAAAAAAAGACTCAGAGAGGTGACATAAACTCACCCTAGTTAGTCAGCTTGTTGTAGGTGGGTGCTGTCAAGTCAATTTCAACTTACAGCGTCCCCACATGACAGGGTAGAACTGCTCCATAAAGTTTTCTTAGCTGCAGTCATTTTGGAAACAGATCATCATGTCTTTCTCCCAGAGCAGGTAGGTGGGTTTGAACCACCAACCTCTCTCAGTTAGCAGCCAAGCACTTAACCACCATTTGCACCACCCGGGCTCTTAGAAAGCAAGATTCCAATCCAGGCCGCAGTCTCCAGACCCAGTGACAGGAAGCCCTCTGCCACTTGCCTTTAGAAACTCTGCTGGGATTCTAGGTTCTACTAACCCTCCTCCAACACACACACTCTGTGGGCCCCACCACCTCCACATAAGTATATTAACGACCCTCACAATAAAACACGCCAGTCAGCACTGGAACTTTGGTGGCTTATAAGCAGTTAAACAGAAATGAAAATTAAAACATTTACTACTTACAATTCCAAAACAATATAATAATCTTCTGTATCAAAAAAGTTTTTAATCTTGATGATGCAAGGCTAAAAGAGGGGGAAAAAGGAAAAACTAGTGAGAAATAGAGGGAAACTGTAACAACATAGAACTTAGGCCATCTGCCTAGAGGGCCGGGGAGGCCAAGACCAGGCATGTGGCCTCCTTTCTTGGAACACTGTGAAGTTACATGAAGGAGAGCAGAAAGAATAGAACGCAGCTAGTTCCTCAGAGAAGACATGCAGGAACCTCTGACAACCCAAGTATGCAAGGAACTAGGTCATATTTCATATACAGGGATGACACCCAAGAAGGAAGGCCGGGTTTCTTCCCAGGCCCTCCTCTCCACCGCCCCATAGACATGCAAGGGCAGCGTAAGGAACCTGACCGTAAGTTAATAAAAGCAGGCCAGGTGGAGACTCCGGCCCTACCTGCAGACAGCAGTGCTACTCAGCTCCAGGCAATGGGAACTACTAGGGAATCAGGACCCCATGTGACAAGACCCTTCCATTGTTTAAGGAAAAAGTGAAATTTTAATTTTATAAGAACTCACAGCACACCTGTGGGTATGAGAGGGGAGAGTCACACACCACACACACACACGCACGCACACACACACATCTATGGCTAACAATTTGCAATCTCTGATCAAAATCAAGTTCATTGCAGAACCCTGTGGGTAAAGAGAACAGGACCGTACAGTTTGAAATGCCTATTTATTTTTATGATTTTATACCTAAATGGCACTCCTGTTGTCTTCACAACACAAAGGCCGACAGTAAAGCTCAGTGGTGGTGATGGGTAGCTACAGCTGAGTCAGCCCCTGGATCATGGAGACTGGAATCACAACGAACAAAACGCTGCCTGGTTCTGTACCATCCCCGTGGTTGGACCATTGTGATCTGTATGGTTTTCGGTGGCTGATTTTCAGAAGCAGACAGCCAGGTCTTTCTTCCTAGTCTGTCTTCATCTGGAAGCTCTGCAGAAACCTGTTCGGCATCATAGCAACGTGCAAGCCTCCAGTGACTCATGGGTGGTGGCTGCTAGCCAGCCGGGTGGAAAGCAAGAACTGTCCCACTGAACTATGCCACTGCCTCCATAAAGCTCAGCAACAGGGGGAAGTAAAAGATTTGGAGATTTTATTAGAGACGCTGACCCCAGCAGCAAGGGGAACAGTGGTTGGATCAGAATTGAAGGGGAAGAGGGATTGGGATCAATGGCACAAAGCAAATTGTGGATGAACTGCTGACAGAAAACCAATTTGCTCTGTAAACTCACCCCCAACTCATAATAAAAAGGTAAAAAAAAAAAAAAGAATTGAAGGGGAAGAGAGCAGCAAGATTTTAGCATAGTGCCTGCACTTGACTGCTAACCAGAAGGCTGGAGGTTCAAACCCACTAGCCACTCCTCGGAAGGAAGGTTGGGCAATCTACTTCCGTAGTGATACTGCCTTGGCAACCCAAGGAGGGGTCGCTATGAGTCAGGTCCAACTCAACGGCACATAACAACAACAACAACATTTAAAAGAAAGCACCTTGGTGGTGTACACGATTAAATGCTCAGCTACTAGCCAAAAAGTTGGAGCTCCACGGAAGAAAGACCTGGTGATCAGTTTCCGTAAAGATTGCAGCCAAGGAAACTCTATGAGGCAGTACTACTCTGTCATATGGGGTCACTAGGAGTTGGACTCAACTCGACAGCACCTAACAACAACAACAACACTGAAAAAGGTGGCGAAACTCCCTAGAGTGATCTGCCTACAAAGCCCATTCCCTCATACCCATCGCTCTGATTAAGATCCTCCACGTGGTACCTTCCTCCCATGATGAACAGCAGTAAATGAATGCATCACTGCCTCCCTAAACACGGACGGATCCTGGAAACATAATGCTGAGTGGAAAAGGCAGGTCACAAAAGACTTCAGCGAGTAAGGGATCATTTTCAGAAGGCAAGCCGTAAGACACCATACTGCTCAGGGATACACATATATGTGACTTTTTTCAAAAAGCAGAGGAAGTATAAGAACAACATTCAGGATAATGGGGTCCCCACTGGGAAGAGGTGAGGGGTGGCCACGGGAGAAGAACACAGGTAGCTTTAACTGTATGACCAAGCTTTCCTTTAAGTTGAATGGTGAGTTCAAAAGTGTTCATTTTATTAGTTCATTTTATAATATACATTGTTTTGTGTGCTGTCAAGCTGCTTCCAGCTCCTAGCAACCCCATGTTACCAAGTAACACTGCCCCCCGCAGGGCTTCCTATGTTGTCATCTTTACAGGACCGATCCTCAAGTCTCCTGTAGAGCTGCTAGCTAAGTTCAAACTATTAACCTTTTGCTTAGCAGCTGAGTCCTTAACCCCCAGGGTCCCTTGTAATGTTAAAAACAAAAACAAAACAAAAAACCTGTCGCTGTCGAGTCAATTTCAACTCCAAGCAAGTGTATAACAAAGCAGAACTGCACCCTAGGGTTTCAGGCTGTAAATCTATATGGAAGCAGACAGTCACAGCCTTCTTCCCTGGAGTGTCTGGTGGGTTTGAACCACTGACCCTTCGCTTAGTAGCTAACCGCTTAACCACCAGGGCTTCTCTTATAACATATACCAAAACCAAACCAAACTCATTGCCCTTGAGTCGGATCCGACTCATAGCGACCCCTCCTTAGGTTTCCAAGGCCAATTCACTATGGAAGTAGATTGCCCAACCTTTCTTCTGAGGAGTGGCTGGTGGGTTTGAACCGTCAGCTTTCTGGTTAGCAGTTAGATGCCTTAGGCACTACACTACCAGAGCTCCTCTTATAATATATACTTATCACATGTTATTTTATATATGTCACACATCATATAATTTGTAAATGTTTGGAGGGAGGGAGAGAAGGAAACTTTGGGTTCTTACTACCCAGACGCTAAAATAGAACTTCTTAGCAGGGTTCACCATGCCACTCACAATGCTGTCCGCTACCCTGTATCTCTGACTCCAGCCTCGTCCTGCCCTCCACCTACCACTCCCACCTCAACCTCACCTCTTGCTCTTGGGAGCCCTATGTACACACCACAAAACCCAGCCCACCTCAGCCTCCCTGTACTCCTTCCCAGGGCTACACCTTTGCTCATGCTATCTTCCCACCTAGTGGCCTCATGCCCCAGGCCCACACTCAAATGTCCCCTCAGTGCATCTCTGATGTCTGTCAATCCACACTGGACCTTAGGATGTGTCTGCCAGCCAGACTGAGCTCCAAGAGGGCAGAGAAAAGAAACTAACACACCCACTAGAGGTGTCCTTTCCCACCAGGCACTGCGGGAGTTGACTCAAGGCTTACTGAGCTTTCTTGACCCAATACCCAGCATGCACACAGGAAGCACTCACATGCTGCCAAATTATGGCCAACAACAACAGCAGCTGCGCTAACTACTTACTGAGGGCAGATTCTGTGCCAGCCTCATTGTAGTCATAGACTATACGGCTGTGTGGGCCAGGCTGAGAATATACCAGTGCCATCGCTCCTTACCTATGATCACAGTTGTGGTGGTGAAGTTTGTGTGTCAATGTGGCTGGGCCTGGTTGAGCGGCTGGGCAGCTGGATGTAGTATTCCCCATGATGAGACTGGTAATCAACTCCATGGTGGAATCTACTGTGAGCAGCTGAGTAGCTGCCTTTGAGTATGTGGTCTGCTTCCCATATATAAGAAACAGCTTTGGGAATGGTCTCTAGTTTATGGCATGCTTGGACCCTGCATGTAGCC